TGTTAAGCTCGTGCTCCCGAGTCGTGCTGGAGGGCGTCCGCCGTCCCTCGGGGTCCCGTCTTTGAGCCGCCAAGGCGGCAACCGCTGCTGCCGTGGGGGCGGCCCAGTTCCGCCCGGCGCCGCGGGCTGGCGGCGCTGCTGCTGCTGCCCGCGGCGGCGTCGCCAGCGCCGCCCGCCCTGTGCGGGGAGTTTGAGCTTCCGGCGTGCCTGCAGGCGGAGTTCGAGGACCGCTGTGGAGCAAGACACTGCTTACCAAACTCCTCCTCCTCCTCCTCCTCCTCCTCCTCCTCCTCCTCCTCCCCAACCCAACCCGAAGGTCTCAGGCCCTCCCAACTACCGGGTTGGGGGGTGCACGGGCTCCACTGTGTTTCCTCGATGCTCCAGGACGCCCCCCCCCCCCACTGGAACACGGCAGGCCCGGCGGCGGCTTCGGGTTTGCTTGGGGTGGCCTGGTGGGCAGTCAGCAAGCGGGTCTTGACCCAGACACCCGTCGCCTCGAGAACATCGAGAGGGAGGTTTACTATCGTTCTCGGCCTCTCTGGGCCCTCACTAGGCCTCGGGACCGTCAAGCAACGAGCAGGACCGGTCCATGGGACATGGGAAGTGGTCGAGAGGCCGGGGGCCCATGTGCCTCGAAAACATCGAGGCGCTGGATGTCCAGGGAGGGAAGCGGGCACGCAGGTGCTTCGCGGACTTCCGGCTCCTGGGGTCCTCCGCGGGCCCCGGGGCCGCCAGGAAACGGCTGGGGACGAAGAGTTGGTCCAAGGGGGGAAGCCTCGGGGTCCGTAGGGCCTTTGGCCTGCAGTACCCTGACCTTTGCGTTCCTTTTGCCGTGGTGCCCTCTCCCTCCAGGGCTGGGGCCTGCAAGGCGCCAGCATGAGGGCCGCGCGGCTGTCCTGGGGCTGTCGCAGGGCTGTCTCTGGGGGCCTCTTCCTCCACGGGGTGCTGTCGCCTCGGCGGATGCAAGCCGCGGCCTCTTCCTCAGAGCCCCGACGATCATGATGTTTTCATGACCTGGGCCTCCAGAGGTCTCGACCCATTCCCCGTGACCAGTTCTTCCTCCCGCGGCGTTCTCCGACGGTCCGGGAGCCAGGCGAGGGCACCCAGAGCTCGAAGATGGCCAAACACATCCCGCGGTGTTTTTTTGTGACCCGAGGGGTCTGGGTCGCATGCCAAGAGGACTCTCGCCTGCCGGCGGTGTCGGGTGCGGCGCTCCGGCTGCTGCCGGGCGGGGCCCTGCGGGAGCGCGGCAGCTGGAGCGCCGACAGAGGCGCGTGCGAGAGGCAGGAGCTGCCCGTGCAGTACGAGGCGGGCGGCCTCTGGGAGGTGCTGCCCAGCCCGGCCGCGGAGGACGGCGCCGTGCTGCTCAACGTCACCCTGAGCAGCTTTCGCGTCACCCCGTCACCAGAGGGGCAGGTTTGCAGCTCGCCGCACCGCTGCTTGAAAGTGACCCGGTGGCTCGGGAGCGTGTGCCCCTGCCAGGCTGGCTTCGATTGGCTGGAGGACCCCGATGGGGTGGACGTCCTGGACGACGCCGCGTGCCCCCGCTGCGATGTGTTCCGCCGGAGGACCAGCTACCTGATGCGCGTCGCTGCGGGCTACGAGGAAGGGGAGCTTGAGAAGGCAGGATGTGTGAGGGAGGAGGAGGAGGAGGTGGGGGAGGGGGAGGATGAGGAGGATGAGGAGGAGGAGGAGGAGGAGGAGGAGGAGGAGGAGGAGAGGAGGAGGATGAAGAGGAGGAGGAGGAGGAGAGCGGGAGGCGGATGCGGAGGCGGAGGCCGGGGAGGAGGAGGGAGGAGGAGGAGGAGGAGGGAGGAGGAGAGGAGGAGGAAGGAGGAGGAGGAGGAGGAGGAGGAGGAGGAGGAGGAGG